GTACACCCTTGTCAGGATTTAGGACTGGAAGTGGCCTGTAATTACACGGCAAAGATAATTGTAGTACACACATAATAATGCCAGGTTTCTCTCCACCATTAAAAGCCAGGTCTGTGTTGAGTGCTATATTTAACAGCACGTGTTGGACGTAAAACCTGGAAAATCTGCATGCGTGTTTTCCAAACCAGAAGCTGAGATGGACAACCTGCTGTCGGATGACATGAACGAAGGCCTCTCAACAACCGACCTGCTCAGCTTTACCTACCAGGTGGCCAAAGGAATGGAGTTTCTTGCTTCCAAAAATGTACGTTTAGATTCAGTTTGTTTGTTTGTTTTACACATTTGTGCAAAGTGACACTTGTTTGCCTGCGGAGGTGCTAATGGTAGGTTGTGAATTTTGTTCTGAGCTGTTGGTAATGCCCGCTGTGCCAGGGTGGAGGTGATGGGAGGGGTTTGGAGAGACTGAGGAAATCAGTGGTTGTATGATAAGCAGCCCTGTGTAGGTTTGCTGCAGCCACTCAGAGGAGAGGCCAGACCCTGAATATAGCTGTCAAAGCTGGAATTACCAGCCAGGGACTCGCTGCAGCCAGAAACCATCCATCCAGCCTCATAGCTATTATCCTTAAATATCCAGTGGCCACAGCTAGCCTTCCAACTGGCAAGTTTATACAGAGATTATGCTTCATAAAGCAAAATGAAATGGCATTAAAACGAGATCTTGGCTGAACTGAAACACAGAAATAGTCGGTTGCTGTGGCTGCCAAGTGTGTGGGGTTGAAAACAAACGACAGCATTCTTCTAATCAGCTTTCAGTTCTTACATATGTTTAATTATCTCTTTATAAACAGTGTGTACATCGAGACCTAGCGGCCAGAAATGTCCTCCTCTCTCAGGGCAAGATAGTTAAAATCTGTGACTTTGGACTGGCCAGAGACATCATGCATGACAACAACTACGTCTCCAAAGGAAGCGTAAGTTCACACTCAGACTGTGGTTAAATCTTTAATCATTCTGTGGTTTTAATTATTTAAAGCGTAATAGAGGAAATAATCATTAGAAAATGATTTCATTACGTAACATTTATTAATTGATTTAACAAAGTGGCACTTGCTGTACTTGGATCGTCCATCAGATGGAGCTGTTTAGCGTTTGACTTTTTGTGGAACATACTAATCCTGTTAAATACTTTATTTGGCACATTTGGATTAATAGGGTTGTTATGCTTGTCACTAAATATGTAAGTATATAATAATAAAAAGGAATTTTTTATTTCAATGTAGACATTTTTGCCAGTGAAGTGGATGGCTCCGGAAAGTATTTTTGACAACCTCTACACAACTCTGAGTGACGTTTGGTCATATGGCATCCTCCTCTGGGAGATATTCTCTTTAGGTAAGTCTTTGACATCCCATCTAATGAAACCAAACTATTAATGCATTTTAATTTATTTTTTTCATTTGACTGGGCTGATTTAAGCTTCTTAAAGAAAAAAAGCATAGGATTCATGTGGCACAGAGCAGTGTCCGCTGCTTCGGGTTTTCTCGCTGTTTCAGCATCTCCTCTGTCCTGTAAAGCTGTTTAGATGACCAACTCGCAGAGTGAGATAACTAATCATTTTCCTGTAAAGGAGAACTTGCCAGATTCCACAAAACGAACATGGTCAAGTTGCACATTCCAATAAAAGAATGGGATTTTGGTGCAGGTGGTACACCGTATCCAGGAATGGTTGTGGACTCCAGCTTCTACAATAAGATCAAGAGCGGTTACAGGATGTCCAAACCAGAGCATGCTCCAGATGATGTGTAAGTTAACACACACACACACACACACACACACACACACACACACACACAGCGCTGGCGGTACTGTTCTCACTAGAACGCGTTGTGCTGTTACAGCTATGAGATGATGATGAAGTGCTGGAACAGCGAGCCCGACAAGAGGCCGTCCTTCATGGGTCTGAGTGAATCTGTGGCATCTTTGCTGCCCTCCAGCTACAAGAAGGTGAGCCCCCTCGTGACCTCTCACCTCTCCTTAGATTTATAACACCTGCCTTTTAAATTTACCACCACACGTTCTTGTCTTTCTCTTTCATTGTCCGGTTGTTTATTGGCCTTCTGGAAGCTCTTTTATCACCTAAAGTACTGGTTGAAAATAATTTAAACTCACTGTTTGAGGAGTAGGCTCATTTTAAAGCCCGTCCACATCCTCAGAGCATGTTAGGTGTGTTTTTTAGGCTCTCTTTCTGTTTCTGTGTAAAAGTGATTAGAGCCTAAGAGCTGCAGCTGGATGTGACAGCGGCTGGCCTAAGTGAAGATAATGACATGGCCTCAGTTGTCGCCTCCACCTCCAGACCTTAATTAGTCTCCTACACCACATAGCACGTCAGAACAGTTTCACCTCAGCCTGGTTCACAGTTTTAATGGCAGCCAGTAAAGGAGGAACCAGTTTAGGAGGATCCACTTTTAGCGCTGTGACCAGCTGGGGGAAGGAGCAGTGATCCAGATGCACAACGCACAGTCCTCAGCTAATCAGCTCCCTAATCTGTGTCACAAATAATGAGCTAAGTTTTAACATGTTACCAGCTTAGAGTCTTCCACCGTGACAGCTGGCAGATTGCATGAGCTTCTTGGGATAATGAATTCAATCATGCATTATTTTCTCTTGTGTTTCTTTTCTGCACCACAAAGCCTATATTTTCATTAATTTTCTGTCTGACATTCTGCCTCCTGCAGCATTACGAGAAGGTGAACCATGATTTCCTGAAGAGCGACCATCCGGCTGTCACTCGGGTGTGCGTGGAGACTGATGCCGACTACGTGGACATTCCATACAAGAACCAGGGCAAGCTAAAAGACAGGGAGAGTGGCTTTGATGAGCAGCGGCTGAGCTCTGACAGTGGCTACATAATCCCCCTCCCCGACCTGGACCCAGTGTCTGATGAAGAATACGGAAAGAGGAACAGACACAGGTAAATGGACCAGTCAGTATTTCAGCTACAGCACGCAGTACCACTACTGAACACTGCCTAAGTCTATTACTCTGCACCAACAGCTCTCAAACATCTGAGGAGAGCGCTATAGAGACAGGGTCGAGCAGCTCCACCTATGCTAAGCGTGAGGGGGAGACCCTGGAGGACATCACACTGCTGGACGAGATGTGCCTGGACTGCAGCGACCTGGTGGAGGACAGCTTTCTGTGACAACTGACTAGCCTGAGCAGAAACAGTGCAAGGAGAGGAGGTGTGAGGACATTTGAAACCAGCCAAAGACTCTGACATCACTGGTTCTCCTCTCAAACTGGCCATTCCAGGGACAGAACAAAACCACTTCACAGTCTCAGTGAGTCTGTGGTGACGCAAAGGTACACAGCTCTCCTCCACAGACGGGGAACTCCTTTGGGTTGGAGAGGAGGATGAGCATGAACAAAAAAGTGACACAAAGGAAGGACTACTGTACACACGCCTGCTCCAAAAGTCATACTCCTAAAGCTTTATACCATTGAGCCTTCTGTCAACAACAACAAATCTAACATGCAGATCAGAAACTTTCAATGAGCTCATCAAGACATTCAGACACCTGTATTTGACCACTACCTATGCACTATTTCATCTAGACTGCTTCAAGTGTCCAAACAGTATTGAAAAGGAACAAAATGAGCGCCTGATGCTGGCACAATCAGTAGCAATACTTCTATTTTAAGCACAAAATGTGGACTGTGTGCATGTGTTTGTACGTGACCATGTAGTGTCCTCGGTAGTAAGGTACATGTGGCAGTTCAAATTTATTTTTTTACATCGTTGTTATATGAACATGTGTTATTTGTAAACGAGTAGATGCAGACGCAGTAGATGTCGTGTGTGTCTTTGCTCGGTTGTTCGTTTCTGCCTGAAAGATCACGTCGTGGAACTTTTTAAAGGCCTGGGTCTTATTTGATGCACGGACTTCATCAGATCTAGGGTGATTGTAGTGTAAATAGCTCCAGAGTTGTTTTATAAGAGAGAAATATTGAGATGGTACTCCATTATTGTTTATGAGTACCTGCAACGGGTTTCTGCTCATGTTGTCACGGCTTTGGAAAAGTCGATTACAGTTAAAATACTAAAAAACACATTTTTGGGATTTTATGATTTAGATTTTGTCAGAGTATGATGTGTTTCCACCAAAAACTGCAGGAGGCGTTGAATTAGGAATTTTTGAGCCAAAGAAATGAATATTGTGTTTAAATCTGAAGGTTTATTTAAACACCTTTGGTGCGTTCTTGCTGTGTTAAAATTCTAATTCCATCTTTTAGTTCTTTTTAAAACACAGAAAGGTTTTATTTACCTGCAGCGTTTCGTTTGCGGCTGCAACCTTTCTGTGTTTTAAACCGAACGAAAAGACGGAATTAGAAGGTTTCTTGTCTTGTATTTTCACACAAACCCTTCATAAGTAGGTTTCAGTCATTCTGGACTTCTGCATTCCCCATGTCATCCTCACCCGCTGTGCCTCCTCGTTTTGACTGTGATTTATCCTACAATCAGATGTTGCACTTTCCTTTTCCTCCACTTTCTGTTGGATGATGCCGACAAACTAACCCGGCTAAGCTAAAAACGAGAGACAGAAAAGATGGAAACAGCTGTTGCTTTGACCCTTGATGTGAACGTTTGCAGCACAGGTGAGTGGTGTGTGTGTGTGTGAGTGTGTGTGTGTGTGTGTGTGTGTGTGTTGGTACCCTGTCTGTAGTCATAGATAATCACACTTAATATGACCTTTTATTACAGTGTTACCCATATTCTACATCATGTACAGTCAGATGATATATATTTCAATAAATGATTTATAAAGTAAACAAGTTGTTTTGTTTATACTAAACACTCCAAAGACACATTAGTGTGGCAACAAGAATGAATGATGAGGTTCTTGTTTGTTTGCCACTAATGAAAAAGCAATCAGATGCGTGTGGGTTGTTTTATCTCAGAGGTCGTGCCTGCAGAAAAAGGAAAACTTAATAAAATAAAGATAAATCATGCTCATTTTGAATTTCATGTTTTGATTTGTGAAACTAATATAAATAACGTGAGAAGAAAGGAAACATTTATATGTTATTATCATACTGACACACGGTCTGAGGCAGGTAACATCCACACAAGAAAAATCTACATAGTTTTACAAGAAAAAGCTCAAAAACATTTCCTGTTGTGAGACGAACGTTAAAAAGGGTTTTACGTGTCTGGAATTGATTTCCATTCAACAATTATGGCAATTTTAATGTATCCAGTAAGTCTTGTTTAACTTGGATTCATGGTGAAAATCGTAAACAATGTCATTTCTTCTGCCACCGTAGCGTGGTGGAGGTGTTTCAGTGCCCTAATGATCCTAGCTGTGCTGTCTGTGGCATTTGGCCCATGGGGTTCCTCATGGAAAATTGGTCCTAGACAGAGTGGCACAAGTTTGTTCCAGAGTTCCCAGCCCAGAGGGTGACCACGGTCTTGCCCTGGAGCCAGGCCTGGGGTCCATATGCAAGCCCATAGTGACCCTGGATGCCTCTCGGTGGAGGTGTTCTGGGCATGTCCTGCAGCAGGAGGCTTCGTCAGCCCAGGGCATGATGGAGGGATTGTATCTCCAGACCGGTAAGAGGACACCGAACTGTGTTTAAACTATCACATACAACTAATTAATTTAATAGGCTCAAGCCTTTAACGTTTTTATTTAACTTAGTATTCCACCCATTTTCTGCCAGGATCTGCTTCTGCAGCCGCCTGTGTCTCCTCTCCTCTTGTTAAGTGTTGATTGGGCTCACCTGCCCCTCGTTACCCCACCCACCTGTTTCCCCGACTATCCTCAAACCCTCTGTTTGTGCTGGTCTGTGTCATATCCTCCTCATGTCATCCTACCTGCCTTTATTCGGTTAAATCAGTTCCTGCTCTCTTGCATTTGGCTCCCAACAACTCCCCCTCATGACATGAATACAAGCACAAAAGTCCAAATTATGTTAGCAGAACCTGCAGCCGTTGCATTCAAATCAAATCGGTTATCCCATGTTTGACGTAACAGCCAGTAAAAATACCTTCACCACAGAGCATTCATTAGACCTCAGACAGATCCAGGCCATGGTAACAGGTCATATTATTAAAATATAGCAAAATAATAACAATAAAATTATACAAAATATTGTAAACGAGGTTTAACTAAGAGCAGTTTTTGCTCCAGCAAAAATGTCTTTTCTTTAATGCTGTCATTGTCATGCATTTTCACTAGATGGCAGTAGTTTCCAACTGAACCCTGTTGCTTTCAGGATGGGGTTCAGTGGATAGAGGTGACGTGGGGCTGATGAAGGCATCAGCCAACCTCTGTAGCTTAATATGCTCACCCTGGTGCCAACGCTGCATGCTGCGATGGGGGAGCTGCAGCTGTCCACAGCCCAGACCTGTAATCCATCACTCAGCCCGTCGCTCCAGAGCTGGGATCTAACACCATGGTGTTTGCTGATATCGGCTTAGTTTCAACGACCTGAAAATATTTAATTATTGCCTGTCACGGAAAAGCAAATATTCTGAAATCACTCATGGAATTTAAAAAAAGTTCAAATGAGAAGATATTCACGTCAAATCAATTTGGTTCATTTTACCTGCTCTTTTTTGTTTGTTTGAATGAGTTTACCCTGTTTGCACAGGCTGCTCATCGAGATTTTGATCCGAGCACTAAATATCCAAACAACAGGTGCAACATAAAGGGAAAATGCTTTGGCTCCACAGACAAGTACAAACTGTACCTGAGGAGGTGCACAAGCTGGTAATCCAGAGAGTACGCAGAACTAAAGCTTAGGTTTACACAACAGGATCTAAAATAAACCAGAGAGTTGAGGAACAGGTTGGTCATTGGTTATAACCATTTACACTGTAAAAAACACAAAGAGCGCTCACATCTGGCTTTTATTTACTCAATGAAAGTAAAAAAACGACCTGTTTCTGTCCTGTTCAGAACATGAAGTTGGTGTGTTTAGTTGGAGTAATCCAGTATTTTATGATCAATCGTGATACATATGACAGATTTTTCTTTTAGCAACATTTAGAATAAGCTAAATTAAGATTGTGCAGTTTTGACGATCACATTTAAAACTTGTAAATGTCCATAAAACCCAACATTATTTTTAAATTCTTCAGGATAACATTTTTGGTTTAATTTTGATTTGCAAAGCAGCAGCTGCCCCGAACGACAACACAGGAGGCTTTGTTGTGCAGAAAAATGAAGTTCCTTGTCAGCGGGGTGAAGCTGCTGCCGCGGTGGTAACAAACGGTGCATTGACTGAACTCTGCCTGACGTGAGACGTGCATGCAAAGTGTTCTGGTGAGCAGGCAGCAATAAAATAACCAAAGCTTTGGCATAACTCGCCTGCAGATAAAGACCAGGAAAACCTGTAATTCTTCTCCATGAGGCTCAAAGAAAGAAATATTTCATAAAACAGAAAGTGATAAATACCTGAGGCTGACTTATGAACTGTTTTCATGATGTGAATAATCACAGTAAACTTGGGATGACTACTGAAACTATTCTCATCATTTCGATGTAAAACAGCTTCTATAATGTTTAAATGAAAACATGAAAGTCATTCTATAATTTTCCTTGAAATGTCGTCAGTTACTTTTCGAAGAAAACTATTGTTGTTCCAGCATAATAAACATGGGTTGAGCCAGGATGATCTGGGCGACCTGACTCCGTTTATTTACCTAACTGGGCTGGTTAGAGTAATTTAACAGGACTTATTGAATGGATCTTTGCCAGGTTTATTTAAATACACAATGTTTGATTTCTAAGCGCAAACATGCAAAACCTAGAAGGACAAGAAGAAGACAAATCTCCTTTAGATCTGCAACAGACACAATCAGTTGTGGCAAATTGGCCTCAAAGCCTGGCGCTAGCGTGCATGCTCTGTTACCGTGGTTCCCAAGGTTTTCAGCGTCAGACCCACACATTAGCAAGTGTCAAGACATGTGACCCCTGATATTTATTTGATAATAATTCAGTATGTAACTGCTTCAGGTCATGTTCTCTTATTTGTTTATCTTATTTATGACATTTCAGTAAAGCTTTTGTAACAATTATGCTAGAAATCAGGGAAGGAATTTTCTGTTGTATTTCTATGTCTGGAAATCATCTCCAGACCCCCCGTGTAGCACCCGCGGCAACGTCTCAACCCCAACTGTGTGAAGCACTGCTCAACTAGAGCAGAATGGCAGATCTTGATGAAGCTTACAGGAAATTTGGAACCATGTGAGAATTCCATTTAATTTATAAAGCACATTTCTACACGGCTGAAGCCAACCAAAGTGCTGCACAGTAAAAGAGCATAAAAATCAACACACAGCAGTAATAAAGGTTGTACAGTAGCTACTATACTGTAGGCGTGCAACCAAGGAAGATGTGGATCCATAAAAAAGGGAATTTGCATAATCCAAGCGAGAGATCACAACTGCATGGATCCCTGTGTGTAGGTCACGTCTAGTCAGGATGGACTTCAGCCAGATGCTGAGATGACCTGATGGTAAAGTTTGTTCTGGTTCTGGTGAGGAAAATGTTTAAAGGGTTGGGGGATGGGAGGGTCTCTCATTAAGGATTTGTGGAGAAACCCCTGCTCCATCGATCCTAGCACATCTCCAGTGCCTTTTGGCTCTAGTGGTGTTATGCTGAGTAGCAGACCGTTTCAGACACTCAGTCTGACCCAAAATTAGCTGGGAGATGAATATTAATGTTTCTCTGTAGCTGACTGTTTCTTAAAGCAACAAAGAAACAAAAGCAGAGAGGTGGGTTGTATTTTTAAGGTTGCTCTTTAAAGCAGCCTTTGTATATCTTTTTAGTAGTCAAATAATTAAATTCATAAATTACAATGTGTAATTTCCTTGGCCATAGGAGGCAGTACATACCTAAGAAAGTGGCATTTTTGTGTTAGAGTAAGACCTTACCTTACCGGATGGCCAGTTGGGTCAAAAATCCCCGGGAGCACAACCTCCAGCAAAACAAGCACATCAGACTCCCTTTCATCACTGGCAACGAGTGAAGAGGTAAATGTCTAAAACAACAAAGTTTATGAAGGATAAAAGTTTTGTAATCATTTGTTACAAATCACTAAATGCCTTTTGTCCTCACAGGCTCACGTAGAAGGAAACATGGTGTCTAATATGGCGTCGCTCAGAGATGTGGGCCCAATCCCAATCCTCGCACGTCCACACCTGAGCCCTTCAAGTGCACAATCCCACCCAGGGTTGCGAGTGTGAAGGGTGTCCCGATTCTCAGGTGCGGAAGTTGATCACGCCCCTTTTGCACTCTTGATCTGCACTTCACCCAAGTCTGCATCGATGTGGACTTGGGTGAAGTGAACTACCCACAATCCATTGAAGGAAAGGCTCAGGTGCTTTTTCTGAAAACGTGTATTTTCTAATGAAAGTAGTTCAGGATGATTAGTTGATGCTCTGAAATGTTTTAGACAACGCAGCAATTAATTTAAAAGTATTTAAAACAATTGTTTGTTTGTTTGTTTGTTTGTTTGGAAGTTGTTAATAAAGGTTTTTGAAATGTGTATCACAGCAACCAGCATCCCGGCATGCTTTGCGGTCGATGACACAATGCTCCCTGTTTCAATTTGGCAATCATCTGCACACTTGAGTACCACACTCGAAGCCTTGCTTCGCTCTTAATCCAAGTGCACTTTGCTGAAGACCGCAGGACGCAGTGCGAGTGCTGGGATTGAGCCATGGGCTGTGTCCAAATTCAGGGGTTGCATGCTCATGAGGTCGGACTTTAAGACCAGTGACGTCACAGCGCCAAAACAAAGACTGTCCAAATTCAAAGAGTGCTCAGAAT